TGCTGGGTAGTCTTGGGGCGGCCGTGGGCTGTTCATTGTTTTGGGACCCTCTTGGGACAAGGGCTGTGGCGTCTCCGGACCGTTCGGGGGTTTCAGGCCCGCCTTCGAGCGTCTCTGAACCATCTGACAGGGTCATGGACCCAGGGCGATGAGCCTCCTGAATGTCTTGGGGCCCTGATGAGGCAAACGTCCTCACCCGGCAGACAGGAGCTCTCCCCGGCGAGTCCCTGGGCGGAGCGTAGGCGCGGGCAGTTCCCAGAGCCTGGAGCGCCCACGCCGTGCCCACGTGCCACCCTATACGCTGAAACCGTATACGCACTTGGCATCGCTCGGACGTGTGCGTTTTTTCCTCGGCGAGGACCATCGAGGAGCATTCTCGATCACTTGGGAAAAAAACACGCACGAAACCGAAAAAAACACAGGGAATGGACGTCCGAGCGATGGCCAGCGCAACGCTCAACCCCTCGGTACGCGACTCCTCCATGACCGAGGACTTGCAGGCGCGCAAAAAAGGCCGCGGGTGAACCTGGACTGAGGAAAAAAAAACAGAGAATCCAAGCAGGAATGAGGGAGCCTGAAAGACCCTCGGGAGACCAGAGGAATCTTGGGGAATCCTGGGGGGTCCTGGAATCTCGAGGAAGCCTGGAGAATTCTAATGAATTTTGTGAAATCGTATGCGATCTCTTGGTATCCAGAGGAATCCTGAGGACTCCTGGGATCTTGTGGATATATTCAGGAATGCCAAGGAATTCTAGGGAATCATAAGAAATCTCAAGAATCCTGAGGAGTTCGTGCAAATCCTGGGGGATCCTGGGGAATCCAACAGAAGCGTGGTGAACCCTGCGGAATCTAAAGGAATCTTGCGGAATCTAAGAGAAATGTAAGGAATCCCCAGGAAAATTATAAGAAACCCATTGGAAGCCTAAGGAAATTCCTACGGAATTTTGGGGAATCCTTTGGAATCAGCAGAAATCATACAGAATCTGAGGGAATAGGAACCCAAGAGAACCCCAAGCACTCCTGGGGAGTCCTGAGGAACCCTGAAGGATCCTGGGGAACCCTCAGGACTCCCAGAGAACACGGAGGAATCCTTATGATCCTTGCGGTACCCAAAGGATGATCGATCTCGCGGAATCGTCAGGAAACCCAGAGATTCTCCGGGTATCTTGAGCAATCCTGAGGAATCTTGAGGAATTCATAGGGATTTGGGGGAATCTTGGGGATTCCCAGAGAATCCTGAGACATTCCTCACGTTTCGTGTTTCCCCGGTTCGGGTTTTTCTCGGTTAGGGGTATCTGTCTTTTGACTTTGAACAGCAGCAGCGGACCTAATATCGCAAGAACGGGGAACACATCCTCGATTGGCAGTTGAAAGATGCACTTAGGCAAGCGGCAAGCAGGTGCGAGGCAGTGCACTCCTTCGCCCATCCCGACTTTTGTGTGTGTGTGAGAGGGAGGGCGATGGGGCAGTGAGCGACAGAACTTGGAGGCTTGCAAATGGGCACCAACATTAACACAGGAGGTTGCCTCCACCATGGGAAGATGATGCTAGAGTTTGGTGGTAGTGGTAATCTGCTGGTCACCGAGGAAGCCTGAATATTACCACCATCACCGAGATCAGGATCATTTTCCATCGGTGGAGGCACACCGCCGATATTGGTGTTGGTGCGGGTGGGCGACGGGACGGAGAAGGACAGAGCCTCCTCCACGGCCCTTCCGCGCCCACAGGTCGAGGATATCCGGCTGGATTCAGGACGCGCTTGCGCGCCCTTCGGCCGGCGGTCTCCAGCTCCTCAGCCTTCCTCCGACACCGCTCAAGTGTATGTCCGCACCGACAGACAGGAGCAACCCTGCAGTCGTCGCGCACAGCGCTTTATATACTGCAAAGACGGGCGGCAACCGACAACCTTGCCAACTCTTGAGTATAGCGAGACCGTTTTCCCTTGAGTTTATTAGCCATCGTGTACCCTAAGCAGTGTGCGTTCTAGCAATATGTGTCTCTGTTGTGCAAGATATGAGGTGCAAGCTGTGTGATGCAATGTATGTTGTATACACTGCGTGGTACAACATATGTTGCGCAATCCGCGAGGTGCAGTCCATGCGGTTCAATCTATGTTGTGCAAACTATGTGGTGCAGTCTAAGTGGTGCAACATATGTGGTGCAATTAATTTCTGTTCGCAGAAAACTGTTGTTGGGTCTCAGCTTTTCTCATCTGGAATTTGATGGGCATGCCTCTGCAAGCCCCTTCATGCGGCTCCACTGCGCACAACTTCGCGAGTTGACCTTCCGCTGCAACTGACCACTGACCGTGCTGCATGGCCAAAGCTTGTGGCAAGGACGGATTAGCACGGCATGCGTCGTTCGTGGTCATGTCGTCACGCACTTTTGGGAAGTGATCCCCAAGGAGTGCGTGCGCCTTCGAAGGAGGGGTGGGAGGTAATCGAATGATCGGGCAGAGCCTGTGTTGTGCTCCCCAACTGATGCAGTTGCCTCACTCGAGGCGCACATGGCGCTCACAGGTCGGACGACCAGGTAGAGCGTGCGACAATCACCGATCACTGCCTCCAGTCCCATACCGTTCCTCATCTCACTTTGAGCTGCCACGCGCCTAGCCGATCACAGACAAACAAGCTTCAAGAGTCAAGCTTCACACGGATGGTCAGCCGAACTTCGCATGCAACACAATTTGCCCATTCCCAACCCAGCATTTCGCAGCCTTGCCCAGACATCGCCTTTGCGATGTTCACGCCGTGCACTCACCGCCTCAATCTAGCAGCAGCACCCACATTTGATAATAGCGCTGTACTGTTTTACTGGAACATTTGGAGAGGTTGAGGTATGATTTACACGGCATTGTGCTGTGCTACTTGCGCTGTACTTGTGGCATTGCTGCCCGTCGGCAGGGGGATTGCCGACAGCAGCGCGGCCATACCCATCACACGTTGTGGTTGCCCCGAGCACCCCACATTGGTTCGATCACCTGTTCATGTGTCATTATTGTAATTGTAATTGTTTTCGGCTTGTGAACTCGTTCTCACTGGACTTACAGCATACTGACTTGCTCTATGCCATTTGCGGGCAATATTATCGCGTCTATTCTAACTGCCTTATTGTGCTGTCCATGCTCTTCGTGCTGTCGTCCGTCGCTTACGTCGGGTTCACATGTTTCAGGCGCCCCACCTTTGACGCATTAGCTGTCCACATCATGGCTGTGCAGCGTAAGAAGGGGACGGACCGGGGGAGGAGTGGGCGGAGAAAGGAGAGGGGGGGGAGGACGAGGGTTCGAGGAGGAGGAGGAGGAGGAGGAGGAGCAAGGGAAGGAGGGGAAAAACGGGGTTGGGATGAGGGCTCGGGGAGGAGTAGGGGGAGGAGGGGAAGGAGGAGAGGGGGGAGGGGCGAGGAAGACGATGGCTCGAGGAGGAGGGGAAGGGGGAACTGGCCTGGCCACCAAGCCCCGCCGCGCAGGCGAGGCGGGCGCCCGCTGGCCAGGGCGCAAGCTGGCACCGCGCGGCCCGGCGCCCGACGCGGAGCGAGCGTCCCGCGCCCAGAGCGGACGCCGGGATCGGTGGGAGGGCAGCGGTCAGGAGGGGAAAAAACACACAGACACAATTAATCGTCGATTCGCAGAAAATATGGGAAAATATGGGAAGTGGGGGGGGGAAGACAGAAACCCAGAAAATATAGGAAAATATGGGGAATCCTTATATTTGTGTGTATTTATTTGTGTGTCTCAGGGCCCCTTCAAGCGGGGGGGGGAGGGATTTGGGAGGACCGAAGTGGGTCTCAGAGGAGGAAAGGTACCGATGCATCTGCCCTCCCCCTCGTTTTCCTCTTTTGGGCCTCCTGGGTGGCCCTCGTCGCCACCGCTGGATTCGCCTCGAACTCGGAGTCAAAACGAACCCCGGGCGAGGTCCGGGGAGTAGCGGTCTCAATACCTGCTGGTTTCCCCAGGGTCACAGCCCGCTGCCCCAAGAACGCCAATGAGGTTGCCCCGGGTCAGGGCGGGGCTGGGGGGCCCTCGATGGCCCACGCAGCGATTTGGACAACTTCAACCATGGCCAATATGCGACAGCTCTGATATGGGTGGCGTCTGTGACAAGTATGGAGCCGTAGATGGGCTGGCTAAGGGGGCACTGCAGTGGAGGACGCATTACCCGGCGACGCTGAGGAAAGACAGGGAGGCACGGTTAGAGGTGAAGAGGAAGCATGTATCATATGAGTTCGACCTGCCACCACGACACCCGCCAGGATAACTGAGTTACGGAGTGCATCGCGCAGCAAAAAAGTTGCATGCTATATGTGCGATCTATAGGTAATTGAGGCGTCAGGACCCAAAAAGGATGCCCATGAAGTACCTGTGGGGGACCAGGAGAAGGGCATGGAGACTCCAATGGAGACAACGATTTTACACTTGTTGGACCTCCGAACGTGGCACCCATTTCCCCGCAGAGGCCTCCAAGAGCTGCAAACACTACCGTGCAGCCAATAGGTCAGTCATCAGGAAGCACAGGCAACGGGTCACGGTGGGAAAAAACGAAAAAGGACACATGGTGATCATGTCGATCCAGGTAGCGGATATCAAGAATGCATTCGGGTTTGGTCGCGAGATGGTCGAAGCGGGGAATCGAATAGTGCTAGATCGAAACAACGACGGGCGATCCCGCAGCTACTTAGAGCACAAGGTATTTTGGCAAAAGACGACGATACATTCCGGTTTACCATTTGGGTTCCAAGTGGGGCTGCGAGTGCAGAGGGAAGAGGAAGGTTGAAGAGGTTAGCGAGGAGAGACGCGAGGGTTGTCCCAGGCGGGGAGTTTTCGTGGCGGACATGTTCTATCGAATCCGGTTGAGCCCGCAAGCCCCAGTCAATCCAGCCGCCATGAATTTGGGGGGCGACTAAGAAGACGAGGACAGGGCAGTGAGTTAAGCTACGAAGAGGAAGCGTTCGTTGGAGTGGAGGCCGAGGCGCCCGAAAGGATTACGCAGGGTTTGAGACCAAAGCAGCATAAAAGTTGTGTTCAATAATGAAACGCATTTACCCCACCGAAGGTGGCGCCCCCCACTGCGTCAGAGTAAGGGCAAGGAAGAGATCGAGCAGAAAGAAATTGCGGGCGCCGAAACACGGTGCACTGGTGATCTCTGTTGACTACACGTGGCTGACTACATGCGGCCAGCGGGAAAAGAGGAGACAGCGAGGAAAAGGGCAGAGAACAACCCGACTATCGCCACGCATTGCTTGGACACCAGGCTCACTTAGAGCCGAGTTTTGTTCGCAAGGGCGCAGGCCCAGACTCAGCCAAGGTATCGCGCGATATCAGATCATTCTGTTCACTGGGCACATGCGAGAACTCCTCAGTGATGGGGTCGCCCACTACGGCGCCCAAGGAAGCCGGCAAAGCCTTGCGCGACCTCAGCCGGCAAAGCCTTGCGCGACCTCTGCCGGCAAAGCCTTGCGCGACCTCAACGCGGGAGTAGAATTAGACCGGTCGGCGACACCTAGGCAAATGGCGAAGCAGAACCGTGGAAACCCACATTCGGTTGTTAACGAACGCTCTGGACAACGAATAGAAAAGTGAGACCGGAGAAGAGCGCGCTCTTACACCTTCATCCGCGGTTCATGCATCTTTCCTCATCAACAAGCTCACGAGATATACCGACGGTGAGACGGCCCACGAAGGGTGCCGAGGGTGACTTCAAACACCCGTTAGCCGAGCTTTGGGAATGCACCGCCCATTAAAATATTCCACCTCAGGAAAGAGGCAACGACGTCAGAGGAAGTTGAGGAGGTGTCTTTCTGGGAGTGCGTGAAATAAGCCAAGAATCATAATCGAATTTGCGAAGGCGCCATCAAGTCCCACGTTTGCAGGCACGAAGGAAGCGGCGTTGAGTTTTTAATAACAAAAAACTTTTGAGGGTGACAGCACCAGGGGGCCCCCTGGCAGACTGATTTCAACGCGCATGGAACGCATTTAAAAGCCAGAGTGACACCGCCGATGGCAGCGCCCAAGCAAGGCGCGGCCGTCGACACCGAGTCGTTCGTGGCTATAGGAGATGTCGTCGAGATGTCGGAGCGCGCGGCTATGGGGCCAACGCCGTGGCGCCGCGGGTGCCTGGCGACTGCCAAGGGGGACGCTGCCCATAAACCGCGCAGCGCGCAATGGCGCGAACGCGTTACCGCGTAGCCCAAGGTCAAGACGACCCGATCATTCAAGAGAGGTCAGCAGCAGCTCGGATGAGGAGGGGGCCCAATAGTTCCAGGCAGGACAATGATAGGGAGAAGCTCATAATGGAAGACTGGGAAGTTACAGGCGGGTTGCTACTCGACAGCGGCTTGATGCCAGAACAACAGTTCCGATGTCTGGAGACGGGTTTGAGCGCAATTCATCCGGAAGTTGCATGATTGATGCTATCGACGACTGGGCAAATTCATGAAGGCGCAGGGAAGTCGCTGAGATGCTGCAGGGGCCCCGCGCTGGACGACGACACTATTACAGAGAGCGTGACAGCGCGAAGGAGCATCGGCAAGGCCCTCAGCATTGCGCGCCAAGGCCAGCATCGACGCGTCGCGTTAACTGGAGGAGGCTGAACGAAGAGATCAGACGCATGCCCAGACCGACTGCGACGAGCTATGCTTGAAGGTATGATCTGCTCAACATAATGACGGCCGACGATCGATTCAGGTGCTCTTCCAGGCCTCGTGGCCCATGAATTAGCCTTAGTAAACGGGCGAGGGGGTGGAAACCGACGAGGTTACGAGCAGGCAAACTGGATGTTGACGTGGGCCTGCGTTAACCTGGGCCAGACGACGCCGCGGCACTTCTCGCCGCGTGCCCCCAGGAAGTTCCGGGCCACTGCGGAGCTCATGACCTCGCCGAGGCACGCGCGTCTTGGACGTCGGCCAGATAGTCGAGGGCAGGGGGGTAGCTGGGCCAAGGGGGGAGAAAGAGGGGGGTCTCAGGGGGGGGCTCGCAATGCATCGCCACGCGATTCATCCACTTAGCTACCCTGGACATCCAGCCTCTCGGGCAAGTCACTGTAGCGCGTCAACTCCAGGGATGGCGAACATCCCTCGCGACGCATGAGGCGCATGAAAGCGTTGCAGCAGCGCGCCCAGTCACAGGGATGCCACGCGCGCAGCTCATCGCGAAGATGGCAGAGCACGGGCCTGGGACGACGCGTCGAGGACCTCGATCCCGAATTCGCGCGAAAGGCCCGGAAAAAGGAGATGGGACAGCTCAGGAAGCACAAGGTCGATGAGGAATGAGGAGGAATGCTGGGCTGCCGGGCCGTCGCCAGCAAAGCCCCCATAGGCGCGAGGTGGATTGGCGCGAACAGGGTCGACGAGGTCAACCCCGAGTGCCGGCCCCGTCAGGTGGCCCGGCAAGTCGAATATAATTCCGAGGGGGGGATATCGGCAGCATCCACCCCGCTGGAAGCGCAAAGACTTGCTTCTATGTAGATCATACTTTCGCGCCATGGCCGAAAAGGACATCTCTATCAAGTCGCCAGGCGCCAGGCGAAGATCGAGCGCTGGGCGCGCGTGGGCGACGCAGTCCATGCGCGGCACCAGGACCACTGCCAGCAATGGGGAATATTGTCGCGTGGACTTGGCACGCGACGCGGGCTTCGAAAACGGGGAGGCGACACCGCGCGGCTTCCAGCGCGAGACGGCGAATCTGGCCAACGGCACACGGAGGCGACCCATGCCGCAGCGATGTCGATCGTGATTGCGTCGATGAGATCGCGAGGGAGATCGAAAATTGAAACCGGGCCAGACCTTGGACCTGGGCCAAAAAGACCCGAGGTCAATCCGACTTATTCGTCGGGTTGGAGTGGAACCATCATGGGTCATGGCGCAAGGCAGATCAGGGGCGCGATGCGAGACCCGTCGAGGAGCTAGGCCTGGGGCAGTACAAAATGAGGCGCGAGATGCCGGGTGGAAAGGCTACCCGGCGAGGAAGAAAACGACGAGGCTCTTGCCACGTCACGAACTCAATGCCAGGCGTTAGCGGCCAGGGCAAATTATCGCGCACAGGGCGGCTCGGACACGCAGCTGCAGTCAGGGAGCTTGCGCTTCCCATGTCTGCCCCAACCCAAGGGGCAAGGGCATGGCTTGCAACGAATGGGCAAGCACCACATCAACCATCAAAGGGGCGGGCACCAGTCTTTGCATCAAGAGCGCCCTAGGGAGTTAACCGGGTGGACAGACGCCGACTGCGCAGGTTGCAACGCAAACCCGAGATTGGTAAGCGGAGGCACAGTGTTGCGGGGGGTGCATCTCATTAAGCCGCGGAGCTAGATTTAGAGAGTGGTGGCACCATCTTCTGGAGAAGCAGAGTATCACGGAATTGGTAAAGGTGCCTCAGTAGCGTTGGGGCGCGCAGATGGCTCTCTTGGGCTTTGCAGTTGATTGCGGCATCTCGCTGAGGGCGATGCGAGTGCAGCCGTTGCCATTGCGAGCAGGCGCGGGTTGGGCAAAGTCACGCACGCCGAAGTCCGTCAGTTTTGGTTACAAGGGAGTGTGAAACGAAGAGACAGCCAAGTGATCAGAGTAGAAAAGCATGATAATGTTGCAGATGCTTTACTTCGATATGTGAGTAGGGACAACATGTCCATGCATATGCGAGGTTCCAACCAAAATTATGTTAACGGAAGACACGAGTTGGCGCCCGCTGCGGGGTGTTTTCACTGTATATACGGATCGTCATCGCAAACCGCTTTGCCGGGGCCTTGACTCCAGGATCAGTTGAGGTCTTGGACCTCGTCCAGTTGATTTGAATTTTATGTTACAGAATACATTATATATAGACTGCATGTCCTGGCGACTGGCGAGAGTTACAAGTAACACATCGCGCGCTACGAGGTCCCTGCACGTTGACGCCCAGAACATAGTCGTCTTCAGCTTGCACCAGTTATGCTGTCAAGCCGCTTGCACGAATCTCACCTTACTCATGCCTTCGATGATGCTTAGATTCGCATGTTGCCGTGCGTCTGAGAGTACCGCAGCCACGCTTGTACCCCCAGCGCGTTTTTACAGCCATGCGGCCGAGTGGTGGTGCAACAAATCAATTATCCCACGTTTGGAGGAGTTACCCATGCAGCGCAGTCGATATAGCTGCGGAGTTAGAGGGACACCCGACGGGGGGAGACAGTAGATAATGACCTGTGTAAACGCTTTGAGTGCGTCAGCGGTGCTACAATGCACCCTGCCGCCCGACATATACCCATCATCAATCCGCACACATATTCTTCTCATTTCGTGAAGCCGCATCCCCCGAACAGAGGGAGTCCCCAGGCTTGCACTCAAGCGAGAAACCCGTTTTGGGCAAGAACCGCCAATCATATTCATTGTTGGTATAAGTGCAACGGGCCGGCGCTACAAGTTCAAAGGGATGTCCACCTCACGTCCATTTTGACATATAACCTTTTCCATTCGCGCAGTTGCTGACACTGAGCTGCGCATGCTCTCGAAAGTGTAGGGGGTCCCCAAAAAATGTTCACCTGTTAGAAAGCGATCGCCCTCCACCCATGTATTGGTTTAACATGTTAACATATATTCGGTTGTAAGAGTTGTGGCCGCCCCTGACGAGAATGCAATATGGAGAAACATTCCGGTTTTCCATGCCTGCAAAGATGGGCAGGTGTGTTTTGGAAACTGCGCGTTGTTGGATGATATAATTGTTGGAAGTGCTTCAAACGAATCGGTATTCCCTGTCCTTTCGCTCCCCGCCTTGGTCTCACATCACGTTTGTTTTCCCAGTTGTCCTTCATTTGCTTCTTTCCTCTCATTTGATTTCCCCGCTCAGACTCGTCCCGTCCAGTCCCCTTCCTTTCCCTCCAGTGCCATGTGTTCCGCTCCCCCCCGCGAGCTTCCTTCTCCCACGCCTCCCCCTCCCCCTCCCCTCTATTCTGTCCTCCCCCCTCCGCCACCATCTCCGTCCGTTCATCTCGCGTGGGAGACGTTCCGAGGTTCCCTTCTGCTGCCAAAGCCTCCCCTTGCGCACCCGCCCACCCCGTTTCCTGGAGGCCTCCAGTCCTGGATGCCTGAGGGCTTTTGCTCGAAACACAGAGTGCATGCTTGAAGTGATCCAGACTGGCCGCGTCATGGAACACAATTTGCAGGGCTTCGCTGGATCGGCATAGCAGGTCAGACGCAGTGTGGGAAGGCGCCAGAACACCGGACATTCTTGGCGGGGCCCCCTCGGGAGCGGCACCGGGAGACCTGAGCACGACTGGCCGGCTGCTCCGGAGGACGTGCCCCCGAAGGCTCCCCGAGCCGTGGCCCGTGTGCCGCCGGCTCGCTGGCCGCGGAGCCTCCCCCCCCTGTGCTGCGGCAGGCCGACCGGTCAGCGGGGAGGCGGGGCCCGCGGGAGCCGGCGTGGGGCCCGAGGCGGATCGGGAGCCTCGAGACGGGGGTCCGTGCAGACGGGGGTCGGCCAGGGCACCGGATCCTGCAGGATCCTCTGTAAGAACGGTTTTTTGAAGGCAGATCTGCCTTCAAAAAACCGTTCTAACGGTTTTTTGAGGGCAGATCTGCCTTCAAGAAACCGTTCTTACAGAGGTGGATCGGGAGCCTTGAGACGGGGGTCAGTGCAGACGGGGGTCAGCCAGGGCACCGGATCCTGCAGGATCCTGCGAAGACCCCCTCTGGCTGGCCCGGGTTGGCGAGCCGCGAGGCGGCCGCACGTACCGGGTCTGCGAAGACCTGCGCTGCAGTGTTTTGTCCTGCGTTGCAGTTTTTGGTTTCCTGCTGACCCGGGTCTGGGTGGACCCGGGTCAGAAGATCCCTCGGGAGCCTCGAGGCGGGGTCTGCTGCAAACGGGGGTCGGCGGCCACATGCGTCGGGGGTTACGAAGTCTGCTGCATGCAGCTGGTTTCGGCCCCGCCGCCAGGCCCATTCCTCGACACATGGGCGCCTCCCGGCGCCTGGAGGCGCTGGGAGAATCAGCTACGTGAGCTGATTCTCTACCCTACCTTTTGCTATCCCCCCTTTTCGTTCCCCCCGAATGTGAACCCTACCCCCACCCCCCCACGATTTCTAGGGGGGGGGGTCGTTTCGTTCGGGAGCTCCCGAGCGAAGTGAACCCCTACCCTCCCTTGAAGCCAGAGCCCAGCATTGGTTCCGGCCGTCAGGACAAGGGGGTGAGGTTCGAGGTTCGAGATTCGATCAGGTGTTTGCCTTTTTCGGCCTCCCAGGGCCATCTTCGAATCCAGGAACCGTCAAACACGGATCCGGGTCGAAAAGCTGCACCCGAGCTGGGTTTCCGGGACCGATTTTGAGGGGGGATTTGGGGTCCATCCCCCCCCCCTTTGTTGACCGATTTTCTCTGGGCCCATCCAGTTGGGAACCCCTGGTCGCTTCCCACGGGGAGGTCATGTTCCAGCCTTCGACCCCAAGGGGGTCCGGCGGCCTGCTGCTGAGCATCGCTAGGTGTGTGTGGCCTACAGTGGACGCCCCATGTCAAGAGGCACCCTGCTTGCCTCCAAGGTGCCCTGGCTTTCTTGGGTTTCGATGGTTTTGCTGTGGAAAGCGTGACGTTCCCACACCAAGAATCAGTGGACGTCCTGGGGTCTCAGGGTTGGGTTTCTTGTGGCAGGCTTCACGTGCTCGAGCTCCTCCGGTGGGGACGCGAATCCAAGAAGTCCGCGCGGAGCGCCAAAAGTTTATGCTTATGGCGTTTTTTCGTCTTCTAGATGAGACCGAGGGGGGGACGGAGAAGGGGGAGGAGAAGGAGAGGAGCCCTCCCTTGGAATTCTGCTGGCGCCCCCACAGGAGGAGCTCGAGCACGCGAAGCCTGCCACGAGAAGCCCAGCCCTGAGACCCCAGGACGTCCACTGATTCTTGGTGTGGGAGCGCCACGCGCTCCACAACCAAAGTTTATGTCTATGGCGTTTCTCCTTCTTCGATCCTCCTCGGCCCTGCTCCATGCACAAAGTCAAGATATTTCCGGCAGATACCGATGTTTTAGATGTGCTGATAGCTTCAGCAGCATCAGAAGCTCTGGTCTACAGAATTGAGGCGCCTGAAATCGGTCTGCTACTCGAGCTATGGGAATTTGTTCGCACTCTGATAATTTAATCGCTTCGCTCATTCCGCCGGCCCTGGAGCACTATTTGGGGCCTCTTGGGGCCGTCTTGGGGGCTTCTTGGGAGCGTCTTGGGGCTCCTTGGCGGCGTATTGGGCCCCCCTGGGGCCTCTTGGGGGGCTCCTGGGGGCCCCTTGGGGCGGGAGGGGGGGAAGAAGCAAATGTTCGCTGCCGGTGCCGGGCGGCCCGTGCCGTGCGCCCAGGTCCGAGGCGGGCTCCCTCGCCGGCGACACCCTCGCGGGCTCCACGGCCGGGTGCCCGGGGGGCGTTGTGATGGGCGCGCGGGGCGCGGGGGTTGGAGGCTCCAGGCGCTGGGGGAGAGGTCGTCTGCGCGGGAGGGGGTAACCCCGCCTTTCTGCTCACGAGGAGGAGGGGGAGGAGGAGGAGGAGCAGAGGAGGAGGAGGAGGAGGAGGAGGAGCAGGACTTAGGAGGTGGGGGAGGCGAGGAGGAGCAGGAGGAGCAGGAGGAGTAGGACTTAGGAGGAGGAGGAGGCGAGGAGGAGGAGGAGGAGGAGGAGGAGCAGGACTTAGGAGGTGGGGGAGGCGAGGAGGAGGAGGAGGAGCAGGAGGAGTAGGACTTAGGAGGAGGAGGAGGCGAGGAGGAGGAGGAGGAGGAGGAGGAGGAAGAAAAAGAAGAAGAAGAAGAAGGTGAGGCTGACGAGGAGGATGGCGGGAGGGGCATGCTGGTGTATTGGTGCAGATGATGATGATGATGATGATGATGATGATGATGATGATGAGGAGGAGGAGGAGGAGGAGGAGGAGGAGGAGGAGGAGAAGGGAGGGAGGGGGAAAAGGAAAACAGGGGAGGGGAAGGGAGAGGGAAATAGGGGGAGGGGGAGGGGAAGAGGGTGGTAGGTATAGGGAAGATACACCCGAATTTGAGGTCCACGCGTGTTACTTCGGATATGACGCGCGAGGAGAAGAGCAAGGGGAGGAGCAGCAAGAGGGCTAAGGCGATTCAGATGAGGAGAGGCAGGCCCCAGCAAGGGTAATGTGTTTTGTGGCAATATGAGCGCAGGCAACCATGCACGAACAAACATTATATAATCCGTGCAAGACGCGAAATTCGAGCACATGTTTTGCCGGAGGACGTTGATCATAGATGTTGATATTACGCACAGCGTGGCCACCATAAGCCAGCTGGGCAATTGCATTTGATGTGCGAATTACATATCGCACGCGAAGCTGAGCGCAATGACGTTTCATCCTGAGTAGGCACACGTGCACTGACACTGACTTCTCCTGCTTGGACGTCAACCCTTGCTTGCACGATCATCTTCCGTTCTAGCACGAGGGCTCTTGACGAGGCCTACATGCACTACATCAAGCGTCCGCGCGCCATCTTTTCCAACAGACTGGAGCGGGCTCGAGATCGAGTGCTTGCTTTTGTTCGCCCGGCACTTGCCAGCGCAGCGCATCTAGGCGAGAGCGAACTAAATTCGGCGGCGAGCGAGGGGAGGAGTGAGAAGGAGAAGGCCTTCTCAGAAGTCGGCGGGACTTCTCAAAGCCCTCGCGCCTTCTGAGAAGTTGCTTCTATCTTCTCAGAAGGCCGGGGGTCTTCCGAACCTTCTGAGAAGGCCTTCTCCTTCTCACTTCCCCCCCTCGCTCGCCGCCGACAAATATCCCGAACGATGGCAAGTACATGCATCGAATGCCCTTCGGCTCATCCCGCCATCGTGCCAGGGTCGTGGGTTTAAGCCCTCCATGATGTTCGTTGGGATGTCGCGGGGGCCCTCTTGGGGGACGGCTTGAGACCTCGTGGGGGCAGATCCTTTTGGGGCGTTCGGGGGACCTCTTGGGGGCCTCTTTGAGCCTCTTTGAGCCTTTTTTGTGGCCTTCTGGGGGCTCCTTGGGGCGTAAGGCTCGGATTTTCGATTCGTGCTCCCCTTCTTCGTCCCCTCTTGGAGCCGTCTTTGGCCCTCTTGGGCCGTCTTGGCCGCCTCTGGGGCCGTCTTGGATCCCTCTTAGGCCGCCTGGCGGCCCTCTCAGGGACCGCTTAATCAGTCTTGGGGCGGTCCTGGGGGCCTCTTGGGTCGTCTTGGAACATAGGAAGCTCGAAGAGTCGAGGACCCAAAAAATATTGAAAAGCATATGCATATCAATGAGTGTGCTATCTTGGGAAGGCTCTTGGGGCTCTAGTGGGAAGACTTGGGGCTCTTGGGGCTCTTGTGCTATCTTGGGAAGACTTCTTTAGCTGTCTTGAGACCATCTTAGATGTCTTGGTCCGATTGATTGGCAATTCGGGGCCATCTTGGACCGTCTTTGGGGCCTCTCGGGACCCTCTTGGTCCATCTCGGGGCCCTCTTAGACCCGAGAAAGTCATACGACAAGACGCTGGGAACCCCGGGGGCCACGCGACGCGCTTCAGAAGATTCGATAATTGTGGTTCCAGGCCCCTGAAAGAATCCTCAGGATGGAGGGCTGAGGCCCCAGGGGATCCAACAAGGGACCCGAGGACACTCCAGCTGCTCTCGTGGTTATTATCAGGGCCATCTTGGGGGTTCCTTTGGCTCATGTGGGGCAGACTCGTGGCTCGCTTGAGGCCTTCATGGGCTGTCTTGGGGTCCTCTGGGCCGTCTTGGGGCTCTCCTGAGCAAACTTGGGGCCGTCTTGGGCACCTCTTGGGCCGTCTTGAGGCTGTCTTGGCTGTCTTGGGGGCGTCTCAGGCCGTCTTGGGTCCTTCAGAAGGCCCTGTTGGGCCAGCTTGGGGCTACCTACCTTTAAGTAGGGCCTGTCCCTCTACAGGGGGAAAGTTCAAAAATAGTCAATTTGTTGACGCTTCGCGTATCCCCACCAGAATTGCGAGTGTTGTCCGCTGGAATCCGCGGCAATCTCGCGCCAATAAATGACGTACCGCGCCCCGGACGTTGTGCTCGCTCCCTGTCTCTCGCCTCGGAGCCGCGGACCAAAAAAGAATCCCCACCAGCTGGCCCGGCCGCTTTGCTCTAGGCTAATTTGGTCGGCCCGTGGCCCGGACCTTTCAACTCGGCGCCTGCGCTTCCGCTTGCGCCCGCGACCAAAAAGTATCCCCACCAGCCCATCTAGAAACGATGCCCAGGGGAGTTGAGATGGTCAGGGAAGCGGGGGAGCATGCAGAAGAAAAAAGGGCGGGGGAAACTGTCACATACCCCAAGAGGGGGAGGATGGAGGAGGAATCGTCGTCGGAGGAGGAGGAGGAGGAAGAGGAGGAGGAGGAGGAGGAGAACGAGGAGAATGAGGAAGAGGAGAATGAGTAGGGCGAGGACGAGGAGGACGAGAAGGATGAGAGGGAGGAGAAGGAGGAGAAGGAGGAGACGGAGGATAAGGAGGAGAACGAGGAAAAGGAGGAGGAGGAGGAGGGGCGGGAGGAGGAGGGAGAGGGGGAGGAGGGAGGAGCAGGAACAGGTGGATCAGGAAGAGGAGGACGGCGAACCGAAGAGCACGAGGCTTTTTTAATGCCTTTCGGAGATCCTCTTGAGGCTTCTTGAGGGTCTCTTGGGAGCCTCTTGGAGGCCTCTTGGGCGCCTCTTGGGGCCCTCTTGGAGAGCTGTTGGGAGGCTTTTGGGGGGCCTCTTGGGGCCTCCTGAGCACCTCTTGGGTCCATCTTGGAGGAGATTAATAAAAAAGAGGGGAGCTTCAATTACGCCCCCCCCCCCTCGGGAGCCCCAAAATAGCCTCCTGGACCCCTCTTGAGGCGCTCTCGGGCGCTCTTGCGGCCGTTTTCGGGCTCTTTTGGGGCCCTCTTGGGGCTCTCTTAGGCCATTTTGGAGCCATCTTGAGGCCTCGAATGGCCACCGGAAGCGAAAAAGCGAGAAGGCACACATCATTGGTTGCCCTTAGGTTTTTGAAGGATGTTGGCCTTTTGGAGCCCTCCTTGGGAAGCTCTTTGGCCTCTTGGAGTCGTCTTGGGGCGGTCTTGAGGCCTCTTGGAGCATTTTCGGAACAATCTTAAGGCATCTTAGGCAATATTGAGCCATCTTGGAGCTCATCTTGGACGCCCCGACCTCTCGCGAAACGCCCCGTCCAGGTCCAGGGGGAGGGGGTAGGGGGAGTGATCAAGTTAGCCAGCTCGAACGAGCCAGAGGGCTCCATTCACTCCCACCCGCCCTCCCACAACATAAGAAGCAAGTGCGTCGCGTCCGACGCCTGTCGCTCATCTTATATCGTGGGCGGCTACGCGTTCAGCGCGCGACATGAGCTGCGCCCTATTCCTGCCGCGTTTCGAGCAACGTCGACGAGAAACAAGACCGCGCGCGATCTACTCCGCGCCCCGCTCTGGCCTCTCATTTTGCATCGTCGGCGACAACATGTCCAGCGCGCGAAGTGCGCCGCGTCTCATTCCAGCCGCGCGCGTTGCACCACCAATCGTTTCGCTCCTGCCGCGCATGGAGGAGGAGGAGGAGGAGGAGGAGGAGGAGGAGGAGGAGGAGGAGGAGGGGAGGGAGAGAGGGAGGGAGGGAGGGAGAAACTGAGGAGGAAGAGGAGGATGCCTCTTGGGAGTTCGCGGGGCGTCCTGGAAGCTTCCTGGCATGCACCTGAGGGCCTCTTGGATAGATCTTCCGGGTTGAAACATTGTCAGCGCAAGTAGGTGCTAACCTCACAATCCTTCAAACACCAAATGAGAATCAATCGTTGTGTTGCCCCCCCCAGGTCCTCCTGGACGCCTTTTTTCAACCTCTTGGGGGTCTCCTGAGGCACTTGCTTGAACCGCACCCGATTAGGGCCTCCAAAGCGATGTTCATTCCGTCGCATGCCTGCTACATGTTTCGCAACTCGACGACACGTTGGCGAGAAAAGAGTTGAGTTCGTGTTGTTTTTTTTTGACAGTTAGGACGGCGGGGTTGCTATCGGCCGGTTAGGTGTGGATGCGGGGGTGCTTAATCATAGGAAAGTAAGGATAAACCCTTCCCCGAAGGGGAAGAAGGAGGGGTGGAAGAAGAAACGCTCTAGACCACCTACGCCTAGAGGGCCGGTGGGACTACTCCGACGGTAGGACACCGCATGAGAATCTGATTACGCTGCCTGGGGATATCCTCCTGCCCCCTTCCTTCTCCCCCCCTACTCCTGCCTCATCCTTCTCCTCCTGCCTGCTCCTCCTCCTGCATCAAGCCCTGCCTCCTCCTCCTCCTCCTCCTCCTCCTCCTCCTCCTCCTCCTCCTCCTCCTCCTCCTCCTCATCGTGCCTCCTCCACCTCCTCCTCCTTTTCCTCCTCCTCGTTATGCCTCCTCCCCCATTCCCCCTGTTCCTCCTGCCTCCTGCGTTCTCCTCCTCCTGCTTTCCCTCTCCCTCCTCCTCCTCCTCCTGTTCCTCCTCCTCGTCCTCCTCCTCCTCCTCCTCCTCCTCCTCCTCCTCCTCTTCCTCTTCTTTCCCACTCACGCTTCCTCCTCTCCCTCTCCTTCCTCCTCCTACTCCTCGTCTCCATCTTTCTCCCCCTCCTCCTGTCCCTCCTCCTCCTGCCTCCTCCTTAGGCCTCCTGCCTCCTCCTGGGGCCTCTTGGGGCCTCCTGGAGCCTTCTCGGCCTCCCGGGACATCGTGGGGCCTCCTAAGGCACTCCTCTTCCTCCTTGTCCTCCTCGTCCTTTTCGCTTTCTGCCTCCTCCTATTCCTCCTTTTCTTTTTCGTCTTGCATCCTCCTTCCTCCTTCCTCCCTCCCTCCTCCTCCTCCTCCTCCTCCTCCTCCTCCTCCTCCTCCTCCTCCTCCTCCTCCTCCTCCTCCCCCCTTTCCTCCTCCTCCTCCTCCTCCTCCTCCTCCTCCTCCTCCTCCTCCTCCTCCTCCTCCTCCTCCTCCTCCTCCTCCTTCTCCTCGTGCCGAACACGACCCAGAGGAAACGCACGACGTGTGTCCCAAGAGATACGCGCCAGAGGACGACCCAGAGGAAGCGCGCCCCAGAGGGCGACCCGGAGGACGACCCAGAGGAAGCACGGGAGGTGCGGGCCCCACAGGGAGGGAGCTCCCGCCTGAGACTTCCTCCAAGCCACTCACAAACGAGGCTCCCGCCTGATACTCCCCCCATATTCAAGCCCCAAGAGCCCGAAAGTGATTACAGTTACAGGATTCCAATGACCCGCTTCGGAATAAAAGCGTGAGCTGCGGGCCCCATAGGGAGGGGGGCTCGTGCCTGAAACTTCCTCGCAATTCACTCACATATGAAGCTCTCGCCTTGCATTTCCTCCACGATCAGGCCTCAGGAGCCCAAAAGTGACGACTGTTGCAGGATTCCCTGACCCGTGTCGGGCCCCATAATGAGGGGGTTCCCGCTTGAGATTTCCTCGCAACTCACTAACAGACAAAGCTCTCGCCTGATACTTCCTCCATATTCAGGCATCAGGAGCCCAAAAGCACGACAGTTACAGGATTCCGATGACCCGCCTCGGATTACAAAAATAAGTTGCAGGCCCCAAAAGGAGGGGGCTCCCGCCTTTGATTTGTCGCATTTCACTCACATACGAGGCTCTCGCCTGATACTTCCGCGCCTCAGGAACCCAAAATTGTTATTGTTGCAGGATGTCGACGACCCGCCTCATATTAAAAACATGAGCTACGGGCCCCATGGGGAAAGGGCTCCCGCTGAAACTTTGTCGAAATTTTCTCACTGACGAGGTTGTCGCCTGATACTTCCGCCATATCCAGGCCCCAGGAACGCAAAAGTGACGACATTTGCAGGGTTCTGATGACGACCCACCCCGGATTAACAACATGCGCTGCGGGCCCCATAGGGAAGGGGTTCCCGCCTGAGGCTTCCTCGAAATCCACCAGCAGGCGAGACTCCAGCCTGATATTTCCTCAAGTGTGGGTGTGGGTGACTGAGTGAGTGAGCGAGGGGTCGCCTAGGCACTTTCGCTCAAGGGCATATTTGGTGTCTCGGGACCTTTTTGGAGGCGGCACCGCGTTTGCGGACACATCTTGGAGCAGTTTGGGTTTTGTTTCTTCCTTCTTCCTTCTTCTTTTACCTTTTCGGGTCCTCTTGGACTGGGCCAGTCCCTTTAAAACTCTGAAGTTTTCAGCGTTGAATACTATTTGGTGTTTCAATGGGCTTGGCCGCCTGTGACAGTCCCCAGGACCTCCGAGACGGCGCAATAGCCCCCAAGACAGCTTTATGACGGGTCAAGGAAGCACCTGAGAACAGCCCCAAGAGGGTCTCGGGGAAAACCACCGGCGATTCCCAAGAACGCACAATTTCGCTTAGAACTCGTGCGTATGGCTGGGATCCTTGAAGAGCATTTAGAGTATGTATATGATATATTAAAGGACAGCCACACCTTGCCAGGCTAGGCAAGACTTGCTTAGAACGAGCAGTATTGGGAATATGCCAGCAAAGATCGCAGTTGATTTCGGATTGCTTGTGAATAACATTCGTAGTCATGGTACGTCAGCCGAGGCTTAGCATCAAGATTCGGAGTCATACGATATTGCGTGTCATCATCCGTGCCCGATTGTGCCAGACTCCTTGAACGCAGGTTGTCATGACGAATTTTTGTCGTCGTCACCCGGCATCCGTGCACCAAATGTTGGTTGCTGTGGTTGTTCTACGATGGCGCAACGGATTGGAAACTGTGGGACCGGTCTGGGTAGCACAGGGGCGCCGGCTTGCACGGCTTCATTTGCTCGCAAGGCGTCCTCGTGTTGTGCCATCTCTCTCAGTTCATTGCTTTGGACTGCTTGCCAGCCTCTGCACCTCCCCCCAAAGTCCAAGTGCACGGGCATCTCCAGGTGCTCGTCGGTCCTAGAGGGCATGTCGCAGGAGGAGCGTGACGAGTTGAAGAAGATACGCATGGTGGCCAAGTTTGCGAACGTGACCGCGCCTTTGTTCGCAGCCGCACAAGTTCTGTCTGTCTTGGATGATTGGTGACCAGCGGGAAAGATGTGGTGGCGGGTGCGCATCGTGCATCATATTTGCACACGTGAGGCATAGTTGGACGTGGAGTCCCATCTTGAAATGAGCAGGAAGTGGGCGAGAAAGAGTAATGACGCGTTGCGTATCCCCAGCAGCCTTTTTGCAGCCTACGCGCCACTGCGGCCAATTATCTACGTTCTGCGCCCCAGTCGTTTATCCCGCTTCCTGACCTTTGCCTTGGAGCCGCGAACCAAAGTATCCCCAGCAGGCAATCCAGAAACGACGCTTCGGCAAGCTGCCTTGACTAGGAACGTGTAGGAGCAAGCAGTGAAACAAAGAGAAGGGGTAGCCCTCAATACGAAGCTCGGGATCAGTTTCAGCACACCCAGGAGTCAACCATGAATTCCGTCGCGAATCTTTCGATACGGGACTCTGGTGGAAGTTGGCCGTTTTAGAAGCTTGCGGAACGCTACGATGCCGATCCCGCACGCAATCGATCAAAAAGGGGGTCCTTACTTCGGGCCCCCCCGTCGCGCTCTTGGGCCCCTCTTGAGCTCTAGGCGATCTTGGAGCCACATGGAGGCCGTAAAAGCCAATCGGAAGCAAAAAGGCAAGAAGGCCGAGAGAGCCCATTCTTGTTTGAACGGTTTCGCCTCTCGGGGAAGGCTCTGAGGCCACATGGAGCAGTTTCTGGGCCGTCCTGTGGCCTCCTGGAGACATGCTGGAGACCGTTTCAGCAAAATGAGAACGTGTTGCGCCATGTCGGAAACTATCTCAAGGCGCATACAGGGGGGCAATATTAGAGTCATCTTGGACGAAAAGGCTCAAGGATGCTCCCGAGAGGCCAACATCCTTCAAGCACATCACGTTGTTCAATGATGCTGGCTGTGCGTCAAGAGGTGGCACTGATTCCCTCCCCCCGTCGGAGCCAGAAAAAATACATGGTAGGTGGGTCTCGGGCATTGTTGGGGCGCTAGTGGGGCCGCCTTGGATCCTTTATCCAGCTGCCTGCAGCAAACCTCGCCATCGTGTCTGTGCAACAACCTAGCAGGAAGGAGTTCGAATTCTGAAAGCTTCGCGTATCCTCGGCAACCCTTCGCTTGCCTTTCTTTTCCTGCTGCCTAGTCGCGGCCCGACTAGTGTTCGGACGGCTTTCGACCCGCCTCGCGAGCCTGTTGGCCAAAAAATATCCTCGGCAACCCATCCAGGAAAGATGCCAAGGGGAGCTGCCCTCATCGGGGGAGCGTGGCATCATTTGAAGAGCTCAGGGAGCCTTTGTGGGCCAGAGGCTTCTTGCATGCCTCTCGGAGTCTCTTGGGGTGGAGGCCTCGTGGGACGTCTTGGGGTCCTCCTGGGGGTTCTTGGTGGCCTCGAGGGTTACCTTGGGGGCCTCTTCGAGGCATATCGGGACCTCCTGAAGGCCCCATTGGCGGTCTTTAGGGCGTCTTGGGGGGTATCTCGTGGCCGCGTGGGCCTCTTGGGGGCCGGTTGGGGGCCGTTGGGCGCCCCTCGGTGGGGCTTGTTTTGAGACCCCCCTTCAGAGGACGCGTGTTCCCCCCCCTTCGGGAGGCCTTGAGTTCGGCCCTCGATTGTTCTACCTGGCATCGCTTGGGCGTGTGCATTTTTTCTCAGCGGGGACCATCGAGGACCATCCTGGACCATCGAGCAAAAAAAAAAAAAAAACGCACGAAACCGAACAATGCACGGGAAATGGACGTCCGAGCGATACCGAGTCTATATGTGACGGACTGCGGGAGATTGCCAGACATCGGCTCCAGGGAGGGGGCGGGGGGTTCGAAGAAGAGTAAACGCCATAAACATAAATGCTCGGCGCTCCGCGCGGAGCGCCAAAAGTTTCTGTGTATGGCGTGGTTTTCTTGTAGAGGTAGGGATGCTCGCGACTAGGGTGGGGGGCGTCGGCCCAAGAACAACTCGCCAGGCAACAGAAGATGCTTCTAACACGCCCCGCTCCGTGCAGTCGCGGATGGATCCTCCTCTCCGGGTTCTCACGGGCGATCGTCGAGCCGCTTGGAGACCCCGAAAGCCGATCGGGAGCGCAAAGGCGAGAAAACAACAAACGGCCGCAAGCAGCAGTTGCTTGGAATGATCTGGGCCTTCAGGGGGGCGTTATTGGGAAGGCTCCGTGGCCATTTGGAGCCGTTTGGTGGTTGTCTTGAGGCCTCTTGGAGATATGTTGGAGAGCACCTCGAGTTATCTAGGGCTATACTGTACAATGGTGGAGGCCGTGTTGGGCATCTGCGGCAATATTCGACCTCTATCCCGTTGCGGCATCTCTCATCAGACCCAGGGGACGGGATACGGAGGAGGCCGAAGAAGAATACGTAAGGGGACCGAATAGGAAACGATTTGAACCACCTGCATCCAGAGGGCTCGTAAGATTAGAAGTCCCAGGGAAGGATGCTGGCTGCGGTGGGCTCCTGGAGAGCCTAGAGGAACCGTTAAACGAACATACGTTCAGTTCATGACGCTTCGCATACCCCCGCAAACCCATCCTGAAACGATTCCCTGGCAATGTGCCGTGAGAGAAAATAGTGAAGCAGCATTGACACGGAGGAGGACCAGACTAGAGGAGGGGTAAATCCAAGTCAACATTTGAACGCTGAAATGCACCAAAGGCCACAAGTTGCAACCTCTTGTGCACAGTTGCGCCTTCGACGCCAGATATCCGGAGGACGCTCTGAAACTCGGCGATCCGACGAAGCTGTGACCCCGGAAGCACCAGAGAGGGGGGAGCAGGCAGGATCATGGGGTCAGATTGCCGCGCCCCGCCCGCGTGCAGGTGGTCGGTGCTGCGGGCGCCATGTTCTCGAAGGACTTGCGAGACCTGCGCGCGCAGGATGGCCCCCTGCACCCCCCCTGCGCGCTGCCTCCCTCCCGGAGCCATCGCTCGCACCGAAGATGTGGAGAGTCCGTGGTGCAGTCACGCTGCCTCGTGGATGTCTCTCGGCCGTCTGGCCTCGCCACGGCTCATCACGTCGCTGACGTGCGGCTTTTCGTTCCGCTGCGCCCGTCCCTGTTTCCTGCCCCACTGCCCTTCCCTCGCCCAGCCGCCTTGTGTTCCACTTCATGGCCCCACGGTGTGTCCTACCTGCGAAGCAAAACACCGCAAACCAAGCAAGCAAGCGCGAGGTCCTTGAGCTGGCCGACGGGGCCCTGCATGCTTCTGCCCGCGCCGCCGCTCGTTTGTTGCCCGTCGGTCCTCCAGTTCCCGCTCCCCCCCTCCGCCTTCCGCGTCCCCCGACCGTCTGCCGTGCGACGACAGGCGGCCAGCGTCGCCTACTAGCCGCGCCTTGCCCGCCGCACCCAATACTAAAGACGGGGCTTGGGCCCGCCCGCCCGCGCCTGCCCGCGCGCCATGTTGCTCCTCCCCCCTGCCCCTCCTCCCCCCGGCCCCCAGGGAGTTCCTTCTGGTGGCCCCGCTGGCCCGGAGGGCCTCAGGAGGGCCTGAGTCCGCAGATAGGATGCGCGGCGCTGGACCCCTCGAGGGGGCTGGGAAGGGCACGGGTCTGGTCTGGGTGCGAGGACGTGCTTGGAAGGCGGAGCGTGAGGGAGAGAGGAGGAGGAGGAGGAGGAGGAGGAGGCG